TCCCCTTTTTTTTTTTTTTTTTAAAGAAGAAAAAAATTTAAAAAAAAAAAAACCCATTTCCCCTCCCCGACCAAATTTTTATTTAATTTGGCAAGTCCCGCTTATTTTTTTAATTAAATGCCTTTTATTTATAGACCAGTCGGTTGGTCGGACGGTTGATGAATAAATCATGATGTGGTTCATGTTGAATGTCAATAAAAAAAACCAAATTCACAATCGACAATGACAGATTGAAACACACGTGCGAGTGGTGTCAGTGAAAGCTTTATATGTATCACACATGCACGAGTCAACGTTTATTTTTAAACTGCCAGTGCGTGTCATATGTGCCGACTGGTTGGTCAGTTGGACGGACAGTCATTCACTTAGCCTTTTATATATATAGACTAGTGGCCCAGTGCACAGATTCATGCACATTGAAAGGAAATTAATTAGAAGAAAAATTCATGTGGTAATTATGTTACTGCAAAAAATTACATGTCAAAATAGCCAGTGCACTTCATAGGTACCGGCCATTCAGTTGCTTGTGATTGGCACCAGCAAGAGCTTTATATGTATCACCCATGCACAAGTCAACATTTATTTTTAAATTGCCAATGCACATCATATATACCAGCCGGTCAGACGGTTGGATGGACAAATGGTCAGTCACTTAGCCTTTTATATAGATAGATATTGCCAAATTGCCCTCAAGAAAAAGTGGCTTTAATTTCTACTTTCACCAGCAGAGAACTATTTCTTGCATATTCTTTTAAAACTTGGACATTGGTGAAAATTTATATCTTGATTTAATTTTCATGTCTTTGGTTTTTACTGAGGAAAATATTTTGTATATCTATTGATCATTTGTATTTCTGCTTTTTTAGATTTTCCAAAAGATAAGCTCCATGAAGGTAAATACCATCCAATCTCTCATTTTATTACTATATCCTAGTTCCTAATTCAATAGTGGACATATGGTAGTTACTCAATAAAAATGTATCATATGCATTTAGGCATTATTCAATTTATCTTTTTCATGTTTCTTAAATATCTATATTTTTATTATTGAATAATACATGCTCTATATATTTTAAATATATTTAAATTCCCAGTTTATATTGGGAATATTTTTTCACATTGTTGTTTGCATTTGATATCCTATATAATAAAAGGCTAATGTGCAAATCAACCAAACAGTGAAACAACTGGAATGTCTGCGGCCCCTTGTCCTGACCAGCCCTGCCCCAGAGTGGGCACCCCTGACCCCAATTGGGGGCAGGGTTAGCCGGCAAACTGCCCATAGCCCCTCACCCAGGCCAGCCCTGCCCACAATGGCCCCCATTGGGGCAAGCCAGCTGGACCCCACCAGTGCATGAATTCATGTACCAGGCCTCTAGTTGTTTAATACGTTTTTTGTTAATTATTTTTTTGTTTCTATTTATGTGTAGCAAATCAAATAATATTTTCCTTATGTATTATATCTTTGATGTTTGCTAAATAAGACTTTTTCCATTCCAAAAATATGTAACTATCCATCAGTAGTTACAGGAAGTAATTCAAGATGTAATAGTCAAACTCAATTTTCTCTCAATTTCTTAATCAATATTGTTGTAGAGTTACTTTCCAAGTGATTTGAAATTCCAAGTTTATTATATAAAAATGATCATGGAAAATTACAATAATAATACTAAGGTAGGAATTATTGTGTTAATTATTTAAGATGCATTATGTTACCTAAAAAATCACATAAACTCTATTATCTTTTAAAAATATATATATTTTTATTTATTTCAAAGAGGAAGGGAGAGAGAGATAGAAACATCAATGATGAGACAGAATCATTGATTGGCTGTCTCCTGCACGCCCCACACTGGGGATTGAACCCGCAACCCAGGCATATGTCCCTACTGGGAATTGAACCTCCTGGTTCATAGGTCAACATTCAGCCACTGATCCACACCAGCTGGGCCCTATTATCTTTATTTTTGCCATCTTCATCAATCATTATTTCTTCTTTATAACTAAGGAAACGGGACTAAGAAAAGTTAATAAAACTCATATACATTTGAGTTTGCTTTTGAATAGTGCTTTGTGAATATTGTTGCATCAATTGTTGCTTTAATTATTATATATTATATTGTTTTCACATCAGGTAGAAGAATGGACCAGCTTTCTGAATAGAGGTTTCTACTTTGTATATTCTTGTCTTGTCTTCATCCCTCACATTTGTGCTCTCTTCTGTTTTTGTCATTGAAATAGTAGCTTAGAACTGTGAGAAATCCAATCACAGCTATTTTTGAATATTGCTAAGCCCTCATAACAAAGAGATCCTTGGAGATCTGTCCCTTGTCTGTTTCATAAGGAACACTTTGAATCTTCTCTATTACTTCCTGAGATATCAGCTACCTTTAAAGGAGGAAAGTGACAAGTTGTTTTGGGTGTCTTTTCTGTATCTGGACCCTCTTATACTAAATCTAGCAAACACACATAGATTTTCTAGCATGTATAATGTATTCATCCCTATTTTAAGGTGCTGAACGTAAGTTTTTTCTTATTTGTGTATTCTTTTGGTCATTTCAAAGAGGATGTGGTTCTAGAATAGGAAGCTAGCTGTTTACCTAGAAACACATAATGATCTTTTAAAGAATGAATAAAATGTCCATAAGGCAGAAAAAAGAAATAAGAGATTCAAGGTGGGATCTTCTAGGAATATATCCCAAGAAACCAGAAACACCAATCAGAAAGGATATATGCACCCAGATGTTCATAGCAGCACAATTCACCATAGCTAAGATCTGGAAACAGCCTAAGTGCCCATCAGTAGATGAATGGATTAGAAAACTGTGGTACATCTACACGATGGAATACTATGCTGCTGTTAAAAAGAAGGAACTCTTACCATTTGCAACAGCATGGATGGAACTGGAGAGCATTATGCTAAGTGAAACAAGCCAGTCAATGAAGGAAAAAATACCACATGATCTCACTCTTTCGTGGATAATTAAGACCATTACAAGCTTTCGAACAATAATAAATACAGTGGCAGAGCTGCCTCAACTGATTGTCGAACTGCAGTGGGAAGCCAGGGAGGGTTGGGGGACAACTATTGTAGATTTCAGCTCCTCTTGGCCATTGGTTAATGTGAATCCAGTGAACCCCCAATAGAAGTTGTTCATTCCCTGAGTATTTACTTATAGACAGAATGGGCATAGTGGAAACACAAAGACACAGGTGTGCAAAGGCACAGACCATTTATTGAGCATGTACTGTCTACCAGATGCTGTTCTAACTGCTTGACATACATATTTTAATTCCTTGAAATCTCTGATTATTTCATTAGAAAAATAGAAGAATATTTATAAATGCAGCCCCTTACATTTTCAAAAGTATCCTTCATTCGGAGATAGGTGATATTATCTATCTATATAATAAAGGAATATGCAAATTGGCCTGGATGCTGTAACATCATGACCAAACAGCAGGGACCTGAGGTTGCATGGCACCTGGCCAGGGCGAGGGACCTCAGGCCACGTCCCCCACCCCAGCACCGGGCCGGGGGACCTCAGGCCGCACCCCCCACCTGGTGGGGCTTGACGAGGGACCTGAACTATGGCCCCCCAGTGTCAGGCTGGGGGACCTGAGGCTGCAGCCCCTGCCTGGAGGGGCTTGATGGGGGTGGGGCCAGCCGGGTCTGGTTCTCACCCAATGTGGGTGGGGCTGGCCGGGTCTGGGTCTCCTGTGTTTTCAAAGCACGTGCAGGTGGTGGGCAGGGACTTGACTCTAGG